TTTGAAATATAAAAAATATTGGTATTGTTGATCAATGGGTCCCAAACATCTACATATATGCCCTCTTATCTCCTCCAAGTGTATGTTATCTATGAACTTAGACACACACGTTAAAGACATAGGATCGCAACTTTCAAAAAGGGAGAGGCCAAGATCGCGTGCACTCTGTGTACTTGATACATATGAAGCTCAATGATGTCACAATATATCCATTATAGGCCTATGAACAACCCCTCACCTTGTCCTAGGCGAATAAGAGGAGATTAACTACTAGTTACATTTGTAGAGATGTTACATAAATTAAATTATGCATGACTCAATTTGTCAGTTGTAACTTGCATGGGGCATCAAGTATCTGACCTAAACTTCCTTGGACTCAAGAGACCTACTTAGTGTGGCTAGAATTGGGGCTCTTATGATTGTCTTGAATCAATGAGGAGACAATTCTACTGGAAGTTGTGTCGCCTTGGAGAGGAACGTCAACAGGCTGTGGGAATGAAGATGAGTGAGGTGATAACATGTGGCCTCATCACCTCGAACAAGAAATAGAGGAGGTGACATACTTAACTATATTCGATTCGCAAAAGAATGTGATTACAATGCATTTTGTCTAGATGGTAGCTATGTGGCCTGCCACGTAGTTATCTTGAAGAGGTGAACGTCGAGGAGAGTTGAACGTGCTGACTAAGTGAAACAACGTGCCAAAAAGCATCCACTATTGTTAACAGTGTGATTACTGAACCTTATTCATAGAAATGATAATTTTACATATACTAGAAATGATAATCATTCGTGTGTATTTATTACTCAATAATCTTCTTATATTTTATTAATGTGAATCGGAAAATCCTTTCACAAAGCTTCAAATATATCGAAACAAGAGTTCCATTTACAGAATCTGCTTAGAAAGTAAAAGCAGTGCTTGAGCTACAGACTGAAATTATATATATATAGAAATCCATACTCAATAAATGTCTCTTTTTTATGAAATAACACAACAAAATACTGAATTTGACGACTTCAAACCATGATTTGCCCAGTTTTCATGTTCAAGGCAACCATCCTGACATGAAATTATTTACACTGGGCCCTGCGGCTGCCATTGGATCAGTCTGGTATCTGGAATTCATCAAAGTTTTATTAGCAATATTACGGTGTGATGCATCAAATATATCTTTTGTGTACAATTGAGTCGCTGAACATAAACATTTGTTACAATTAGATTGTTCCTTCCATATCATCTAGTTTGATCGACATAACAACTCGATTGTAACGAAGTTTAAGTTTAACGACAAACTCATAATAAAATAATATTTCCCGACCAGAAATGTTTGAACCTAGATGCTTAGACCACTTGGACTCTTATGCGATGTTTGTCATATGATATTGAACGAGTACCACCATTTTAGTTTTCCAAGGACATTTAATGTGATACGTCCATAAATTTCATCAAATGTTCAACGATTAATTCGTGCACAGAAGATGAACTTCGATGATGACGGCAAATGTAATAAAATTTCCGTAGTATAAAAATGAAAGATGGCATACCCAATTTGTAGAGTGGGTTCACATTCCAAAGGATGAAAGAAACCATGAGGCTGAGGCTGAGGCTGAGCTGGTTCATGGCCATAGCCAACGTCTTGATCAGGATCTTGATTCCACTGCAGACTAATGTGATTTCCCTCCATCAACTGCAAAAAATTGCTCACAATCTCTTGTTACATTTCGAATATACAGCCATTAAAAACTATAAACCTAAGATAGTCGAAACTGAAATAGCGAAACGAATACGAGAATTTGTAAACAATGAGGCTCGGTTAATGAATTATGTACCCGTTGTTTCAGACTTCTGTTGGCTTCATTTAGTGCATGCTCCTGTCCATATGTGTATGTATAGAGGCCAAAAGAAATTAAAATAGTGGAATATTAAACAATTAAATGTTAAATTATTTGTTGATTTTCGATTAATTTTGAATATTAAAGAACTTCCATACCCTTCTTTGAAGATCTGCGAGGGTGTCCAGCATAGCTTGTGTCTGGAAAATGGAATATTTTGTCTCAAGGACTTAATTTTGTTAGAACACTATTACCTCAAGATTTACAAAATAATTTCTTAAAAAATGACAAGAATAGATGCCTTTGAATGGATGACAAGAATAATATTTTCGTATCTTTCTCGAACAATCAATATGATTCTACGGAAACCAAACAGAGTTTCGAAAATAAATCATATGTGCAAAGATAGAGTAGTTGATTATCTAATGGTGCAAGAAACACGATAATAATTATGTGGTATGATCTAAATAACATTCGACTTTAGATCGAGTACGTACTCGTGTTGATCTGATATGCTTCAGTGACATATCGAGCTGCATCTCTAGTGATTCAAGTTCCTTGCTATTTAATGGACCGAGATCCTCACCAAGAAGGTTCCTAGTTGGTGATAATAGTACAGTAGCCAATAAAAAATTTATTTACGTTAAAACTTACTTATGTACTTATAAGTAACTTTTTAAGACTATTATGTTCAATTATATTATATAATTAATTCCTATCTGATGACTAACCTTTGTGAACGTTGTAGGGCTTCATAACGTGCTTTCAACTTGAGATACTCGTGCTGACTGCTTAGTTCCTACAATCATCACAAAATGGTAATAAGTTGTCATATAAAAATTACTCATACATGATATCATGTTAAACTCTTGAAAAAAAAAAAAAAAACCAGTTAGATGAATAAATAATAAAAAAAAAATTATACTTTTCTTTCTATGAATTAAAAGGTAAAACTTTTTTAAAGGGTTACGAATAACTATAAAATGAAGCATTTGCACCAACTATAGAATCAAACTACTATGCAAGTAATCACGGATTCGTTGAAGGAAAAACAATTATATTTAATCGTCATAATCAATATTGAAGAGGAAAAAGAGTAAGATTTCTCCAAAGCAAAGGTATATCTGTTTACTTTGGCTAACAAGATGGTTTAGGTTTTGGCCCACTTCTCCTAGCACTATGGTTCGTATATTGGCGAGCCATCTACAAGAGTCCTCCTTCATAAGAGAGACACACAGGTGTATGGACCAGGAATAACGCTCATATACTTCGGGTTGCACTTTGATTCTGGGAAAGTGCTTGTGGTTCATGCAGGCTCATGCGATTTGTGATGACGTGCAACACCTCTATATGTCGTCCTTACTCCTATGTGGCTTAAACACAATGTCCACATGTGGGGAGCATATAACAATATTCCATCAAGTTTGAGCATAACATTAATGTTGGGTTTTGGACTTTGCTTTATGATTCGCTTGATGAATCATAAATAATGTTGCATACCATGTTGAACTCATGATAGGAAATATAGATTGAATATAGGTGAAACTTGTAATATAATCATTGACATGAATAATGTAATGGCACACGTTGGACTGTGTGTAGTATAAAAAAATTGAAATAAACAAAAAATTTCACTCTTGGGGTTTGATGAAAAATGAATCTGATTTGCAAATTAAGGATAAATGAATTTGACAAATATGAGATAAAAACTTTACAAAAATAGACGTACAACGTTAATGAAAACAAACTCAACAAGTCAACGACGTTAGGCCATTGTATGAACATTTTCTAGAACCCTATATGACTGATTAGCTATTTTTGGTGTTTACTAATTTATTACATATTAATGCAATATAAACGAAATATATGTTATGTTCGTAAGTAGATATATATTAAGCCAGGAATAAATTTTGCTTAACCACGGTGAGTTACCTATACATATGTGCTGTGCTACCAGTTAGTAGGTATTGTTGCCACATTATATGTTACAGAACATAGATGGGTTCATGATTGGATTACAAGTCGGACTAATATGTAGAAAAAAATAAATTTACACATAAAAAAAATTACAAAAAAAAAAAAAAGAAAAGATTTTTACGCTAAAAAAAATTAACGGGTCCCCCCAAATCCTTCCATGTTACAAAATACGAACCAAAGTTAACGAGAAACCTAGAACATAGATTTCTGTAAAATCATCTTTCTGTCAAATTATAAAAGTTTGCTACAGCAAAAGGGAAAATCTGCAACCTGAAGAGTCTAGAAAATGTTTGAAGGAGAAATGTGCATGAATTTAGGACAAGTTTGTTGGGTTTTTTCCTTAAACCTGTATTATTTAGGATAAGTTTATAGCCTTTTTTCTTAAACTTCTCAAGTTTATAGGGATTTTCCATGTGTAATTATAGAAATTACTTATTAAACGAAAAAATTTCCTTTTATTACAAAACAGAATATCACTGATCGATAAATTATCTCCAAAAATCTCTCAAAGAATGTGTTAATTTTCTTTCCTTTCTTATCAACTTTCTCTTGTAATTTTATTAAAAACCCTAAACATATTTTTCCAATAGATGTTGAACTTTTCGAAGGCAAAAGAATCCCTGGTCTGGTTCAGATTATGATTTTTGAACTGTTTTTCAGCTTACAATTTCCCAAATCTTGAATTTTCTGAGTTGAGCATTCAACCTGTTCTTTCTGCTGATTTTCTGAAAGATGCTTTATCATATTTTTATGCTTAAATCATTCTCAGACGCGATGATGTTCTACTTTAATATTGAATCTTTTCTGAATCCTCTACTGGACTGCTTAGTTACAAGTACTTTTTCATGGAAATATGGTTTATTTATTACGTTTAAAGAGGCATAAATTTTATTATGATAACTTCATGTTTCTTGAATCTTTTTTCACTTAGGAATTCAATGTTTTGATCCAATGATTGATTATTATTCATCACAATTTTACAATCATTAAATCTGCATCTTGTATGGAATCTGCTTAGTTAATTATTAGTACTTTTTCAAGAAAATAATTGTTTTTCCATCCAATATTGTGTTCATATTGTGATTGCAAAGATTATTTATGAGCTTTTACTCTTAAATTTGTATTTCTCTCTTCAGATTACTATGGAAGAAGAGATTTTGAGCATGATTTCACCAGCAAAAGTAAGGATGAATGAAGAATCTTCAAATTCTAACTGCGGAATTCATATTTTTCATGCATGCAAATTCAAAGGGGTAGTACCACAACAAAATGGACACTGGGGGGCACAGATTTATGCAAACCATCAACGCATATGGCTTGGGACATTTAAATCAGAGATAGACGCGGCTATGGCTTATGATAGTGCAGCCATCAAACTCCGGGATGGAGAAACTCATCGAAATTTTCCATGGACAAGACTAAGTATTCAAGAACCAAAATTTCAGAGCCATTTCAGCACAGAAGCAATTCTGAACATGATAAGGGATGGATCATACCCATCCAGGTTTGCTGAATTTCTAAGGAGCCAAAAGGGTGAAATCGAAATAGGCCTAAATCTTTCATCGCTACATGGGGACGGGGAATTTTCGTGCAGGCTACTTTTCCAAAAGGAATTAACGCCAAGTGATGTTGGAAAACTGAATAGGCTTGTAATTCCCAAAAAATATGCTGTTAAGTATTTCCAAAATGTTACTGCAGAAGATGATGTAGAAAATGGGAGAGTTGATGAGGTGCAGCTTGAGTTTTATGATAGACAGATGAGGTTATGGAAATTTCGGTATTGCTATTGGAAGAGTAGCCAAAGTTATGTATTCACAAGAGGCTGGAATAGATTTGTGAGAGAAAAAGAATTAAGGGCTAGTGATATTATAGCTTTCTACATGTATGAGAGTCGAGACAAGCGTCGAGTTGGACAAACATTTTGTGTAATTGATGTGGCCAACAAAGGGGACTCAAGACATGGCTTAACCGCTGTAGGGATAACAGATCGTCGTCTTGATTTAGGACAAAATGCAACTTACGAATTAAATAAAGAAGAGATTGAAGAATTTGAGGATCAAATGGAGTTTGTGGGAATAGATTTATCACCTAGCAGCACTGAGACAAAAAGTATCAAACTATTTGGAGTCCTTATTAATCTTTGACTTGGGATCTTCCTGTTTGTACTAATTTTATTTTATTTTTTCAGTTTTCATTTTGTGCATTTGAAGCTTAATAAATTAAGCTTTTGTTCTCGTTTTAATGTTTTTAGCATCATTCAATCTCAGAAAAATATGTTAATAGACGGTCCAAATAGTGTAGAGTGGGAATAAACAGTATACCAATTAACACCAACAAATAGATCTAATTTTCTGTAATTTTGTACATTAGCATCGTCTCATATTGACTGAATAGTTTGAAAGATGCCGTGCAAGCAAGTTATAACTCAATCGTATCAAAAAATCGTGAAAATTTTAAGAAATTAAATGATGAATAATGCTAAGTGTACACAATCTTTTACACCTCTCTCACATGGAGGGGGGCTCACACATAATAAAATAATCGTGGACCCCCCTCCATGTGAGAGAGGTGTAAAAGTGTGTGCACACGTAGCATTACCCATAAAAGTCGTCGTCCACGTGTAATTTATTAATTTGTTTAGTTGACAATACAGCA